GATAAGAAAAAAGACAATCACAACGAGCGGCAATTTTGTGTAACTCCGCTCATACTGGACGAATTCGAAACGGCGGTTTGTTCGTAAAGCAATCAACTCCTTTGGTGATGCCTTTGAATGATTCTTTCAAAGCGGCTGCAGGGCTCCTTTGCTAAGGAAAGATAACTGTACACAAGCAGTGAACGCACTGTGCTTGCGAATTTTGGCTGATAGTACACAATTTAACATCACTAGGCATATCCAGCGCAGAAGTTGTTACATGGAACCTATAGCTGCGATAAACATAAAATAAAGATTTTCACAGTTGCCAAATCCACCATTATTGTTTCCACTCGTTCATCCTATGGCGCGGGAAGTTTCCTGAGAAAAGGGCTCTGCAGCAATTGCACCGCCTTCAATTATAGCCCGAAATATTTATTTATTTCTTTATTTATTATTTATTACATACTACAGACCCTTATGTCCAAGCAGGTGGGCAGTTACAAGAGGACATCGTTGAAACAATAAGTGTCATAAAGATTCTTTGTGGTGAGTGTTTCATACACTCATAGTGAACACAAGGAGCGACGTAGCAAATTATTTTATAATAACGCATGTACCGGACTAAAGAGAAAAAGACACCACGAACTCATACTTCATACGTTGTGTGATTAAAATAAAGATAAATACATATTAAATGCAAAATAATACACACAATTATTTTCCCCGTTCAAGCCAAGAAATTGATGAAAACATAAGTATACCATATGTACCACACATACAAGATGAAAAAGAAAACAAAAAGAAAAAAAACGCATTATTAAAAGCTCGGACACCTGAATTTTCAAATCTACCTGCTGGTACACCCAATATATCTCTTGGCACACCCAAAAATATCTGCTGGCACAAACGAAAACACAACTGTGCACTAAGCATGGTACCAAGAACTACACACAGAATAATGATATTCATCTCCTGACCCATAACAAACAAGCATACACATGCACGCCGACACACCCACGCTCATGCGCGTCGCCACTCTGGAGATGTCACATAAACTATTTGGCAGTTCCTTCATTTGCTTTGCTGAATGCTAGCAAACCGGGTTTGTGCGATAATTAATCTTGCAGCGATCGAATAGTCTGCCAGCTCTTACGCAATAAAATTATTATGAAGTTAACCATGTCATTTTTTTATCTTATTAGATCCATGTTTTTAAATAATGAACGTACTTCAAGGCAAAAAATTAGGAATTATAAATTAGTGCTGATATCGTCTTTTGGCGCGTTTTACAATGAAAAACTTTGTGCCACCGCCATGAGAGGCTCAATAACACAGCTGGTTCATTTGAACAGAGGAAACTCGTGCGTTTTAAATGTGAAGCATTTTTTGCGAACTTTGGCGAGTTTGAGCATATCTATCTATCTATCTATCTATCTATCTACCTATCTATCTATCTATCTATCTATCTATCTGTCTATCAAACTATCTATCTATCCATCTATCTATCTATCTATATATCTATCTATCTATCTATCTATCTATCTAGCCGCCTACGACATTTAGCTCATCGGGCCGTTTCGATAATGGTATTATTACCAAAACTGGTATTGCATAACATGACTGTACGACGAGCAGAAGTGAGTAGTCATAACATGAATATAATGACATGTATCTCATGAATGTCATGATTTACATTTCATGGTCTTGATACCCACACGGTGATTTCGTTCACATGACATGTTGCAAAACTGGTATGGTGTGATATGACTGCATGGTGAACACAAGCGGCAGACCCCAACATGAAAATCATAACATGCGTGTCATGTAACATTATGACTACACGTCAATCTCGTAATGCGCTCGTGGCCGATTCGCTAGCTTCGCATAAAGCAAAATTTTTATTACAGGACGTGAATGAATTACGAAAGTATGTGACTAGTATAAACATAATAATCACGAGGTGTGTGTCATGTAAAAACTTGACTACATGCCACGCTCATCATGAACTCTTGACCGTTTCCCTAGTTTCACATGTACCAAATTCTGTATACGTGATGTGAATTGATGACGAAGGTAAATGGCACGCCCCAACATTAAAATTATGGCATGCCTGTCGTGTAAAAGTGGACTACAAGCTACGCTCATAGCAAGCTCGCTGCCGTTTCGCTAGGTCCACAAATACCAAATTCGGTATCAGGTGACGTGAATAGGTGACAAAGGTGAATAACTCGTCCAAACATGATTAACATGACGTGGAAGTCATGTACGGCATAAATTACCACCGCCTCGTAAAGTTTTGCGGAATTTAAAGTGACATACCAACCTTCCTCATTCGTGTTTCGCATATTAGCAATTCCCACTGTACGTAGGTTGTGCCAATTTTTTCTCTCATGAGGGTACCTTTTTTTAGGAGTTTGCTCCTATAGATCACGGCTTGTAGTATGGCGGCTGCAGACGTGTACACCAGTGATGCCAGGGCGTAAACTTCTGCTGGTCGCTGCTCAAGGCCGCCTCTCCGGGGAATGCAACAATGCTCACTAGATGGTGTGAAGAAAAATGTGTGGCTTCGTAACTGTCTATCTCTCTCAGGAGGTCACTTCGACAACACCATTCAGGGTATGGATAGCGCGGGAAATCAAGAAATGTAAAAGAGGGAGAGGAAAAGAGGAGGGTGTCTGTGGTGTTTTGTCTGGCCCAGCGCGAATGCGCGCCGCATTCCAGCAAAAAGGAGAGTGAAAAATGCCCCCCTCACCTCTCTCTGACTGGACTCCTGAAGAAATTCGAATGTCTTTCTCGCGCCGGGAGATGGAACTATTGCCGTCAGAGGCGCCCAGCTAGCGAATGGTCGAGAGTGACGACCAAGTGGACAGGAGAGAGAGAGCAGTTCAGCAAAGGTAAATACGCAACTTCTTCAGCACTAATTAGGAGCATGTCTCAGCTCCTGTGTGTGGGGAGGGAGAAGAGGGCATTAAAGATGTGAAAAATAGAGAAGAGGAAGGGAAACGGCATCCATGACCAAGACGTGGCGGGCGGTTTCTATTGCTGGCTGTCAAGTTCAGTGTCTACAAGGAAGTGAGAACCGCCTTGAAGACCTGGATGTGGTGCCGTGCAGGATAGAAAAGGTCGCTCTGTTTAGCGGCGAGCAAGACGCTGCGTTGTGTGCGAAGCGCTGGATAAATGCCCAACAGGTGCTGGATGATTTCATCTGCCCCGCAAGTAGTACCTACAGGGGACGAGGATCTGTCAAGCCGATGACACCGGGCCGCCGGCCAGTGCAAGCGGATGCGTAAGAGAAGTACCAGGGACCTCTCTGTCTTGGTGAAACCCCTGTTAGACAGCCGGGTTGGTGGGTATATCCTTGCTACACGATCGTCAGGGTGGCAACATAGAAAAAGCCTCCTCAATTTGAGCCTTGAAAAGTCTGAGGTGACCACGGTATGGCGCACAGGGACGGGGGAGTGGTGTGCTTCTTTTGCCTGGGCGTCAGCCTGCTCATCTTTCTGGATTCCCGCTTGAGATGGGACCCAGTGCCGAGAAACATCAAGGCTACTGGCAAGGAGGGTATGCAATTTGGTGACGAGCACTTGTGTTGCAAAGCCTGCCCGTTCCGGCTTTGCCAAGGCCAGCAACGCAGCTCTTGAGTCGCACGCTACAACCGCGGGGCACGTTGAGAGTTTGCTGCCAGGAGGTCAACTCCCAGGTGGAGACCAGCCATCTCTGCAGCGGTAGAGCAGGCCGAAAAGGGCAAATGACAAAAGGTCGTTCAACCATGTGCTGCCATAACGCAGGAAGCTGTGGTCTAGCCTGTGTCTAGCATGACGGAACCGTCCGTGTACGCAATAATCCTTCCAGCCAGCTCTTCATCTATTTTGGAGGCAGATGCCTGTTTGAATGCGCAAATGGGTGAGCGATGCTTGAGAGCCCTCGCGGACCAGTGCTGATAGCCAGTAGATTTAGGGCCGAAGCTCCTTAAAGCGGCAACCGTTCGTCCTCGTAGTAGTGCGTAACATGTCTTACGCTTTGACCTGCAAGGTGGTGCCGGTGGGAGCTTTCTCCTGTGTGTTGTTGAACAATAAAAAATTCGCAGCGTGCGCTTTAAAAGTAGAATTCTCCGGTCTCTCATTCCCCATTAGCAGCCATTGGCATGTACATTGAGCACTATTTGACAAGAAAAAGTTGCTACGTTATACTCGCTGGGCGTAACCTTCTTTGTTTTAGAAAGGTTTAGCGAGCGTTGGGCCGCAGTACTAGCAATACAGTGAACTAGTATATACCATGAACTCGAGGTGGTTAAAGGTGGGAAGTAGACCTGAAGCGCAAGCCGTAAGAAAGTGTGCGTGTGCCATCTCTCGTTTAGTCTTTAAAATGTCCGCTGGATGGTGGTGCTTCTATATGCGGAATGTATGATGAAAAGATGCGAGATGGTGATACTTGAATTGTTGACTATATGGACGAACGGGCACACAGGCATATGCATGGATGGACGCACGGATGGCTCCACGGATGGATGAACGCATGGACGGACGCAGAGGCGGAAGCGTGGACGAACGCTGGGATGGACGCAGAGATCAACGTGCGGATACACGAACAGACACACGCACGGACGGCCACACAGACGGACGCATAGACGGACGGAAGCAAGAACGAATGGACGAATGGATGCTTCGCCCCACTCTCCATCATTCACCCCATGTATATGCTGCCATTTTTTTCTATTGGCGGGGGAAGAGGTCCGGCTGGATGCACCAGTCCCACAGCTGCTTGATAGATCTGCAGCAGCTCGTCCATCCCAGATACTGGTCGACTTTGCAGCCGGGCTCGCAGGGGGCACCCATCAGAAGCATTGGCTAGCCTATCAATGTGTAGAAGCCCACATTGCTTTAGAAGCAGGGAGAGAGGCCAGACACCCGCCTCTGCCAGGGTGGCTGCGGCTTGGCAGGACCGCGGCAGGCCGTGAACACAGCGAATGAAACCCTTATGCAGTAACTCGAACCACCCAAAAAGCCGGCAATGAAGTGCTACCACGGGAAATTCGTACAGCGGTGGTGATGTTGCTGCTTCTGTGTAAAGACGAAGACCCAGGATGATGAGCAGCCGCGGCCACTGAGGAAAATGCCCTTCACTGCCTTCTGGGTTCTCTTCATCATGAATATGGCTTCCTTGATGGCGGGAGCCCAGGACACCCGATGGTTGATGCGAAGCCCGAGATGGGTTACCGCACTCTCCCACGATAATGTGGTGCCTTTGATGGTTATACGGGCCACTCTGCGGCGTGTTCTTGATCTGGGGTGCACAAAAAATGCCTCCATTTTGGCCGGAGAGACAGTCAGACCTACAGACGCGATATGGCTGAATGCAGAATTCAGTGTACTTTGCAGGCAAGATCGGACAGTTCGCAAATTCCTGGTAGAGCCCCAGTTCCACAAAGCTACGTCGTAAGCGTATTTGGAAAATGGGACTGGGTAGCACTGGCCGGAAGGAATGACAGCAGGCAGGCGTGCCAATAAGACGGGGCTCACTACAAAACCCTGTGGCACCTCTGTCGAGACCAGTTGTGGATAAATGAGCACGTGGCCAACTCTCACACGGAAAAATCGGCCCGACAGAAAGCCCTGCACAAAGCACAGCGTGCGGTCTTGCACGCCCAGGGCTGCTGGTTTCTGCCTAACTGCCAGGTGCGGCAGGCCATCAAAGGCATTCTGCACGTCCAAAAGCACTAAAACGGCCGCCTCTTTCCTGGTTCTTGCATGCTCCAGTGCCGAGACAACGTCACTAAGCGAGTCTGCTGCGCAGCGCTGGCGCCAGAATCCAGTGTGCTGCATGGGAATGTAATCCAGGGCACTAGCAATTCACTTGAAGTGGGCCAAGATCATTGCCTCCACCGCCTTGCAGGCGGCTAGGATGAGGAAGACACGCTTGTATGACGAGAGGGTCGACGAGGGCTTTTGCACTTTCAGGATTGGCATGATGATGGCTGTAATCAGGACTCTGGTAGCTGTCTGGTGTTCTAGATGTCATTGAAATAGTCCAGCAGCTCGCTCTGGTGGACCTCATGGCAAGTCAGTTTGCAATGAGACAACCAGGACCACCAGCAGAGCACCGGCTGTTTGACAGACCAATATGTATACCCCATATACACCACCTTGCCTTTACATTTAAGAGTGTGGCAGCCCTGTGCAACGAACCATTCCTGCCCTATGAACTGACCGCGTCTCTCAACCGCTTGAAGCGGCGATGCGCACCAGGAGCAGACAGAATTACGTTCCAAATGCTCCGCAACCTGGTACACAGTGAGAAGGCCCAACTGCTTGACTACTTCAATGACATCTCGAACAGCGTACAGCTACCAGAGTCCTGGCTTACTGCCATCAGCATGCCGATTCTAAAAGCGCGTAAGCCAGCGTCGACCCCTTCATCGTACAGGCGTGTCTCTCTTACCTACTCCGCCTGAGGTGATGGAAGAACTGGTGTTGGCCCGCCTCAAGTGGACGGCAGAGTGTGGGCCCAGCTCGACGTTGGCGTTTCACAGCGGCTCTTCAATCACACATTTTCGGATATTTTTGACTCGCCCAGCAAGCGAACGAACGAGAGTGAGGCACGAGCGTATGGGAGAGTGGAAAGCTCCAGGGAGGAAAGAGAGTGAACCGTGAGAGAAGAAGCGGCTTAACACTGCAGCTACCCTCTCTTACACTCTCTCGCACCACCTGCTCCAATTGTTAGGGGCGAGGATAAGCGCGCGCGCCCGCAGGTGTTGCTTGCTTTGGAAGAGGGAGTGAAAGCGGAGAGATAACACCTGCTGACTCACTGACACCGCGATGGATTACACAGGATTACTGACATTTCCCTACTAAGAAATGCATTCGCAGTAAAAAACTGTCAAACAGGCCAGCAGGGCAACGAGAATCCTCGTGTTTTCGTCGCTTCGTACGCACGGAAGCACATCACAAGTTTTTACAATGAGTGTTACGCACGGGTACCGACATGCTTCGAAGCTCCCTCGTCCGCCTGCTCTCAAACCCGTTGAAGAACGTCTGATATCTCAACGTGTGCCACTTGTGAATGTTGGGCGTTTGACTTACGGCAGCGGCCAGTATACAAAAGGGCGCTCGGTTAACGTGTCGATTGACCTGGTCAACACTGTGCAGTGCCGGCCGCGTTACGAGCCCAACAACGCTGTTTTGGACGTACACATCAAGGGCCGGCTCTTTAACAAGCCTTCCTAGAGAAAGGGTCTCGCCAAGAAACATCTCGTGCACCTCTGAGCGAGCTCTTGTACCATCATTCACTTTGTGGATATGGCGGTGATAATTTCCTTTTTTTTTTCTCGCAGCCAAACATGGTTGCGGTGAAATAAACATTACTTTGGGCTCAGCATAGCGTTTTAGGTTAATTTTTTTCATCAATTTAACATGCGCTCAGCCATTCTTGCAAACGAATACTTCAGTTTTAGACACCCTTTTGGCGTTAGGGATAGCAACCGGGAATTCACCGCAATTAGTCTATGAAGACAAACGTGGAAAATGAATAGCGTAGGGCTTTACTTAAGTAATTTTATCAAGCTCAAGTTTTTGAGAACTTAGAGACATACGGCCAATCAGAGTGGAGTGTACAACTCGTTAGCTTGTTTATTTATTTATTTATTTATTTTATTTATTTATTAGTTGGTCGGTAGAGTGTGTGTGTGTGTGTAGAAACGTACAAGAACGCTTTTAAAAGAGAGAGCGACTAGGATAACAAGATCTACCTAGAGAAGAACGACTTTTGCCTATTATTTTAAGATGGGGGAATAGATAGATGTTGTCAAGGCAAGAAGGGATACAAAGAAGGTAGGAAAGTGTCGAAAAGGTTACCTACATTTTAATGAAAAAAAATCAGCAGATCCCTTTACCATGAGAATCAATGTTATGCGAAGCACTTGGCAAGACAATGACTGTGACGTAATTTTGTAGTGTTTCTCACGCAGTTATAGCAGTTTCTCATGGCTTACATTGAGAAGCGCTGTGCATGCGCAAGGAGCATTGACGTCAACTGGCGCACAGCTGGCGTACCAGAGAAGGCCTCGAGGCTCCTGGAGTGACGTGCTGTAGTGGGCTGGCACTTGACTCGCGTGAACTCACTCACCAGTCCACCTGACCATCCGTCCATCTGTCTCCTTGTATGCCTGTCTGTCCGTCCAGCAGAAAGCATAATAAGCTATTCCTAGAAAACTATGTTAGCTATGAACAGCCAGCTAAGCCTCACCTGTCGCTACGTGGGCTGGCGTAAGTGAGCTAGGCCACCGTTATTTTTTTCTCAGTTATTGGGTTCAACGTTTCCAAATGACCGTCAAGATGTGTACATATGGTAAATTCACGCACTCGTGTTGAAGAGTCGCATGTGTGATATTACCGATTGTTTACAGCTGCCTAGGACATTTAGATCTCCTCGCGGTTTCGATAATCACTTCAATACGAAAGTTGGCATGACATAACATGACTGTATAACAAGCATAAGTGACTACTTATAACATGAAAGTTTTGACATGTATGTAACGAATGTCATGATTTGCATTTCATGGTCTTGCTGCTCTTTCTGTGGTTTTGTTCATATGACACGTTGCAAAACTGCTATGGTATAACGTGACTGCATGACGAACACAAGCGACAGACTCTAACAAGAAAATCATGACATGAGTGTGATGTAACAACATGACTGCATGCCACCCTCTTGATGCGCTTGCAGCCGTTCACTGGCTTCGCATATACCAAATTCGGGATTACGGGAAGTGAATGCATGATGTAGGCATGTGACTGGTGCAACCATGTTATACATGAGATTCGCGCCATCTAACAACTTGACTACATGCCAAACTTCGAAGGTGCCAGTACACTTCGACGTGACCGGTGCACATGCGCATCGGAGTTCGTTTCGTCGCGTCACGCCGGTGATGCCATGCCAGGCGCTAATCTACCTGCCAAACGCCGTTGACCTGCCATATACTCGCACGTGCGTGTCGTGCTGCATTGCTTTGATGCATGCGCGTTCTAGTGCGCCCGGCGTCCCTTCGTCATGGAGAGGCAGATGCGGTGCTGTCTGGGTAACGTCGTCGGCGTGAAATGCAGCCTGTCACATTTCGTGCCGGTTGCCGCCGGGTAGCGCCGACGAACGTCAGTCGCGCCTGGCGTCAAACAATAGAGGGCTCGCGTTTTGCTAGCGTAGTGTAGCCAGCTAGCAAAACGCGAGCTAGCTGCGTAGCTAGCAAAAAGCGTAGCTAGGTGGGCCCAGCGTGTGCACGCGTCTACGATACGTCGGAGTAGTTGATTGATATGTAGGGTTTAACGTCCCAAAACCATCATATGATTATGAGACACGCCGCAGTGGAGGGCTCCGGAAATTTTCACCACCTGGGTTTCTTTATAGTGCACCCAAATCTGAGCACACGGTCCTACAACATTTCCGCCTCCGTCGGAAATGGAGCCGCTACAGCCGGGATTCGATTCCACGACCGGTGGGTTATACGTCGGAGTATAATGGGCCCTTCATGACGCGCTCACCGCCGTTTCGCTAGCTTTACGTATACCAATTTCGGTGTTACGAGACGTCATTGGATGACGGAGGTGTACGACTGGTACGAACATGATAATCATGACACGTGTGTCATGTAAGAACATGACAACTTACTACGTGCATGAGAGGCTTGTGGCCGTTTAGCTAGCTCCACATATACCAAACTTGCATGCTCTCATGCAAGTTTCTCATACTCTCATGCGTCATGTATCACGTGACGTGAATACATGACGAAGATAAATGACAGGTTCAAACATGATAATCATGACATGGAAGTCATGTATGGCATAATTTACCATCCGCCTCGTAACGTTGTTTTGATTTTAAAGTGGTATATCGAGCTTCCTCAGTCGTGCTTCGTAGATCATCGATTCTCACTGTACGTAGGATGTGCTATTTTTTTACATTAGGTTATTCATCAAAGCAGATATTTATAAAATTTACAAGTGGATAAACAACGCTGCAACACAGCTGTTATACTCAACGACTCATCATAACATGAACTGTCTTAGCGCGTGATATCTGCTGAAATTTGGAGTCTGCATATTAGCTGTTACTTTGTTTAATGAAGCTTTAATCTCCTGTGATGCATAGCTGCATAACAAGAACTATGGCAAGCGGATGTGTGCCACTCGTGACTGATAGAAAGTGTTTTATGGAGTACGCGATAAGCATATGGCGTTATTTATGTCCGAACCACTGAGTCATGTCGTTCATAGACTGATCCCCTGCTTTGCCACTTTTGGCATATTAACGCACTATGAAGATGACCACGAGAGTGCCTAGATGTACACGCGGCAGACAGGTACGTAGATAGAAAAGACCAAAGTGGCTGAGGTTTGCTAACAGATGCTTCTCATATATAATTAGCAAAAGCGAAAAAGCAACGTCTTGTGACCGATGGTCAGGTTTGTTTCTTTCATACAAGTCAGCCGGGCCTCTAGAAATAGGTAATCATCAAAGGCAGATCATATAAATTCTATTATACGGAAACACCCACTGCCATACGAATGCGGACATGTATAAATGCCGCCGTGCTTCGCCGCATGTCAATTATTGAATGGCCGACGCTCTGTTTGCCGCTATCAGTGGCCGTGTATTGCTGTAATATGACCTTCAGTTTCTTGGCCACAAGTTCGGCCGAATAAGCAGTTTAATCTTCCCACCGAATCTGCTTCCTTCGTCCACGTCACGACCTCATGACATCTGGTGCAGGCGCTTCCCGTCCATGTACCGAACGCCCCTTTCCATTCGAGAGGAATTCCTCAACGGTGAAGCAAGCATGCCTGAAAACCTTGACCTGCTTGCAAGTCGCGGAAAAAAAGGCTACCTCCAGAGCACGGAGCTCTACCCGATAACACTCGCAAGCCCAAAGCCACCACTACCACTACGACAATGACAGCTTCTGTACCAACACCCG